TATCAGTATTATAGGCAAAATAATGGAAGAAGAAAAATGGTCTCTGAGATTAAATATAACCCTTCTGCTAGACGAAGAGTAAAGCTTAAGAAAATATAAAAGAGTTACTAAAACTCTCCCTCTAGTTAAATTCTCTAAATAGAATATATGTGCATAGATTTATTTTAATAATTATTAGGGAAAACTTTATAAATGCCCTAACATTTTCCTTTGAATAAAAAATGTCTCTAACATGTCTCTAACCATTTATTAATCAATAATGCTCATAACATTTAAAACATTCATATCCCTCCATTAACTTCAAATAATACGGTTAAATTTTATCACATTGTGACTATTTTACCCTCTGATTATTTAAAAACACAAAACAATGTAGTTTGGTTTCTACCTTAATTTCCCCCAATATTAGGGTTTATGTAGCAGTTTCTAAATTCCTTTTCCTCAGTTAATTGATACTCTCTGGGCTTCTACACTCGCGGAGAGTGGACAAGATGACCATGCTTTGAACTTTTAATAAAGAAGAAGAATCCGTTTACAAACTTTTTTTATAAATTTATGCGAACTGCATTATGTTTTCTCGGGAGAAGATAATGTGATTAGTGCTCTCCCAGAAAAAGATAGTGTAATTTGTAAGAGTTTGTAAACAAAAAAGTTTATAAATATAATCTACCCCTTTAATAAATACCTCATGTTTCTACCACACAATATGAAGCCCAAATAAACAAGGTTGAAGTCAAATAAAATTGATAGAGCATAAAGTGTTACATTAGATTCACAAATATCACTAGTGCAAAAGAATCTTTAAGTACAAGAAGCTTATTGGGTTAGGTATGGATTTTGTATTCTTTTTTATTTTTATTTTTGAGGGAAGGGTTGCTCAAGTTTGTAGCAGTTGATTTTGAACTCTTACTGAGAAACAATTGAAGAGCAAAGCAGTCCCAATATGATAAAATTTAACAATGTTGTTTAAAGTTAACATGGGGGTATGAATGTTCGAAATGTTACGGGGTATTATTGATTAAAAAAAAGACATATTTTATTCTAAAAAAAAATGTTTGGGGTATTTATAAAAAATTTCCTAATTATTATTCGGGTTTAATATTTTTATTTTGTTGTAGAAATATATTTTTTGCTATATTCATTGAAAAGTGAGCTGATCTCACTAATCTTTTATCTTTCTTCTCTTTGTAATGGGACCCACTCATTTTTATATGAGCGTTGCAGAAAAAAATTATGCTGTAAAAATAGAAACAATTTCCCCTTATTATTAATATTTTCCAAGTTTCCATAATTTATATTTTTGAACATTCTTTATATTTAGATAATGCATTTTAAATATTATTATATTTTAAATGATTTGTTGTAAGGATTTGCTTTTTCTGTAGTTACTGCAGATAAGTTATCTGCAGTAAGCCTAATACGACGTCATTTTGGAATGGAAATCATGGTGTTTTTGTAATTTTAATAATTTCAGGGTTATTATAGTCTTTATGATTATAATTATTTATTTTTTTAATCCAAAACGACATCATTTTAGGAGTAAATGCAGATAACTTATCTGCAGTAACTGCAAAAATATTATTCTGTTGTTGTAATTCAAAACTTATGATTTGGACGATATATTTTGAATTGTTGATAATATCTCTTTGTTTGAATTAAATTAATGGGATTCTTTGTGAGTAGGGGTATAAATGGGCTGAGTTAGGCTAGGCTTTGGCTTAAATAGGCTAGGGTATGTTCTGGTCTATTAGCCTGTGTAGGTCCCAAATTACAAGTCTGGTCTGACCTATATTTAAAAAATAAAAGCCTTGGCCTAGGCCTATTAGCCTGTTTAAGTCCATTAAACATTCAACAATTAAAAGAATAACTAAAATAATATTATTTTATTATTCAAAATTATTAAAATAATAATTTTATTTATTATATTTTAAATAAATAATATTATATAGGCTGGCCTGTAGGCTTATAGGCCCGTCATGTACAAAAAAGCCTATGACCTATTTTCTAAATAGATTTTTTTAAAAGCTTAAGCCTGTTCTATTTTACTATTTATAATAGGTCAAACCTGGCTTAATATAGGCTAGGCCGTAACCCCCTGTAGGCCGGTCTAGCCCATTTACACCCCTATTTGTAAGGTAATCCACATATTATGAATCGTTTATAATATCTCTCTTTTTTTGTAAGTGAGTTGATGGGATCATTGAGAAAGTAATCCATATATTATGAACGGTTAATAATATATTACTATATGAAATAACTAATGAAATCCTCTTTGAGGGTTTCTTTGCTTGAAAGAGTTAATGAGATTGCTCTCAAAGGTAATCTTTATATGTACATGATCGATGAATTGAGTTCCTTAAGGACTAGATCAAATTGAGGAACTAGGTTCCTTAGGCATCTCTAAGATATGTAAGGTAGAGGAACTAGGTTCCTTAGATATAATGAAGCCAAGGTACCTGGGGAGTCAAGTGTGAGTTGAAGTTTCATATTGGTTAGGAATGAATTAAGTGAGAATCATATAAATGAAATGATTATGAACTTAATGTCTTAAGATTTTTGGTTGATACTGATACTGGACCTATTTATTGTGACGAATTGTCACTTAGTCCATTGATCGTGGTCTTTTTATCACGCACTTTCTAGATAATATCAGAGCTAATGGTTCAGATAAGTCAGCCACGTGTTGGCGAATGTGTCGATTGGTAGGTGCTGGGAGGAAAATGTGTTGGACTTGAGATTCACACTTGATGAAGGAAGAATTTATCAATTCAATATTTTAAAATTTTGTGTAAAGATGTGGTATAATAACCTACTTGTTGAGGGTGGATTGTCACCTCAGTGATAATGGTCTCCCCGCCATTCGCTTCCGCTGGAACTATATAACATGATGCACTTCGATGGTATAAAGCTCTGGGAAGGAAATTCATTCTTATGATTATGAGAAGTTTGACAAAATTATGTTTTATGTGATGGCAAAAATGTGACGTGTGATTAATTTGATATATTTCAAAATTTTCGAAGAATTGTGAATTTATCATGATGTATTTGTTCTGTTTTGATTTAAACCATGAAAGTGTTTTTCTAAAAAAAAAAAAATTATATTTGTCAAAACTATTTTTAATTGTTTGATTTACTGGTGTTTTCAAATATCCATGGCAGAGATTTGAGTAATTGCTGAATATATCCGAGTTATATATCCAAGATAAAAGTTTCAAATTCAATTACCTAGATATCATAGTAATGAGTTACATAGATTTGTAACGAAAAAATATTTTTCTCTGCTGTGTAATATTTATTTTTAACAGGCATGTTGTATATTTTTTTTTGGATATTATTTTTTTTTTTTTGGATATTTCATGTTGTATATTATACCATAGAAAACAAAATTATTTAATATGATACCCTGAGTTAATTTATTGTTATATAATTTGACATGTTGGGGCAATATATTCTTACACCGGTGTAAGAGTTAGAAGTCTTACACTCAATCTTGACCATTGATCCACTTGTATCCAATAGCTCACATTACTAAAAAATTTGAGCCCTTAGATATAAGTGGGATTAACGGACAAGATTAAGAGTGTAACTTACATTGGTGTAAAATGATCCTAACCCCTAAACAATAACTATACCTATATTTTTTTCTATATTGTTTATGCTCATCGTATCTCTATAATATGCGCATAGTTATTTAATTCAGAAGCTAAACAAGACCATTGAAGTAACTTCACTCGGTGAGAATCACGAATGTTACAAATAGGATATTTGATCAAATCAACCATCAACCTTTGAAGTCAGTGTCCGATTGGAAGTGTACAATATAGGATAAATCTTCGTAATATAGTGTAAGACCTGATCGTATAAGGTTTGATTGTATAAGATCTAATTAAATTTTAATATTATTCAGCATTTGACATGATGTTGTATAAGATAATGTATTGTATAAGATAATATCATCCAGTGTTTGGTAATGTACTGTATAATATTAGATAGAATAAAAATAAATATTTTTAACAAAAATATCCTTCAATAAAGAATTTATATAATTCTTTCAAATAAATCATATAATATTAATTTTTATAGAAATATATTGATCAGTGTGTCCAAAAAATATAACAATGTTTATAAAAATAATTTTTTTAATATTTTAAAAATTAATATATTACAAAATTAATTTTATTTTAATATATTAATATTGAAATAATATAATAATTCTTGAGAATTGCACTAGTCAGCAATGTTAATACATCAACTTCTTATCAGGCCTAATCTCACTCCTTTAGGCTTGATTAAATTATACATCGTTTTGATGTATTAAAGGGTTATGTTGTATAAGCTTATAACTATGAAGCACCGACACTTCAAAAACCCTGACGTGTCGTGTCCGACACTTCCCGACACTCTCGGACACTCCGACACTCCCCGACACTCCAACACACGTTATAGAAATTCAAAAAAAGGTTTAAATGTTACATTGCGTTGAGTTTTTAGTTCCAACTATTAGATTCGTTGGATTACGATTACTATTATATTGAGTCTAATATAAATATTTGGGATATCTTATGTTTTTTTGCAAATTTTATGAATATTATAAGTTTAGATTCATTTTTTTATTAAATTATTGAATATTAAATATAATATAACCACATAAATTAAAAATATTATTTAATATCAAAAAGTGTACTAACGTGTCGGAATCTAACATTTTTTAGAATTAACGTGTCGGAGTGTCGTGTCGTATCGTGTCACGTGTCCCGTGTCAGTATCGGTGCTACATGGGCTTATACTATATTATATTCATATCAAACAGCTTAAAATATCATAATGTATATTATAAACTTATACTATCAAGCTTTATACATCACATCAAACTGGCCCAAAGCAAACATGTAAAAATAATGTAGAAAAAGATCTTTCCTCTGTATAAATAAGTAAAAATTTGCATCAACACTTCACAAATAATCAAGGAGGCCTTAAGTTTTGCACAAAATTATAAAGCTATGTCTAACAAGGAACGTGCATTTGGGGTTATGTATTGGAAATTCATGCCTCACCTTTTCATGGTTCTTGTTCAGGTGGCTCTTGCATTTCTATATGTCCTAGTAGAGGCTTCATTTAATAATGGGATGAACCCTCATGTCTTTGTTACTTATCGGTATGCGGTTGGAGGCATAGTGGTGCTTCCTTTTGCTTATTTTCTTGAAAGGTACTTCCTATATCCATCTTGTAAAAGTACTCATGCTAGAGTTAGACCTATGACATTGTATTTGTATGTTAATTAAAAGAACCTATGTTCTGATTTCCTGATTTCAGTTATATTCCTCCTGAACATAAACTTCTGTGAGACTAACCCTTTTTATCCATATCTGATTTTCTTATTTGCAGAGAAGCAAGGTCAAAGTTAACTATGGCAATGTTTATGGAGCTATTTTTTCTTTCCCTCTTCGGGTATAGTTCTCAAGTAACATTTTTTTCTTAAACAGACATACCCTAACTTGGAAGGAACTTACATTTATTTTTGGTTTACTTCACTATGAAAAACAGAATCAGTCTTGGCCCGAACATGTTTTTTGCAAGTTTGGAATATACCACTCCTTCCTTTGTGGCATCAATGATTAACACAATCTCATCTCTTACGTTTATGATTGCAGTTGCATTCAGGTGAGTAGCTGAAGTTAGAGTGTATTCAAAATTGGTCATTTTTTTATTTTCTTTCTGAAATTATCATAGTCCTGCTTCAAACAAGAGTTACTATTTTCTTTTTCATGATCCTTTTAAATAGACTAGAGGCTGTTGATGTTAAGAGCCCTCGTGGGTTGGCAAAAATCTTTGGAACTGTATTATCTTTGACTGGTGCAGTGATAATGACTTTGTATAAAGGACATACAATAGAAAGCTTACAGGGTACCCCGTTCCACATCAGAGATAAATTGGGTCATAATAACTGGATTAAAGGATCAATTTTGACGGTTGCAAGTTGCATATCATGGTCTTTATGGTACATACTGCAGGTATATTTATCTATAATCAATTTATATCATCTCAGCTTCAACTCTCCACAAACATCCACAGATAGAAAATGAAATGAAAAAAATAAAAAATAAAATAGATAGATAAAGTTATATCATGTTTATTTGCTTGCCTTGTAGGCTATTATAGTGAAGAAATACCCAGCACATTTATCACTAACAGCATGGATAAATTGCATGGGTGCAGCACAATCTGCTGCCTTTACTGTACTCGTGCAACACAAACCTAGAGCATGGTCCATTACATCCAGTTTTGAACTCTGTTGCATTTTATATGCGGTAAGTAAAGCATGGAAAGGCTGAAATTAAAATGTATGATCAATTTAAACTAAAATTCTAACTCAATCAATCATACATGAGTAATGGCAGGGAGTTATATGTGGTGGTTTGATTACCTTCATTCAAATATGGACCACGGAACACAAAGGTCCAATCTTTGTGAGTATGTTTAATCCCGTTGGAACAACTTTGGTGGCAATCATAGCATATTTTGTTTTGGGGGAACAACTTCACATGGGCAGGTAGAGTACGTTTCACTGTTCAAGCACAGTTATGTCCATGTTTCAACAGTTTTAGATTATGTTTGGCTGTTTCAGTATACTGGGAGTAGGCATTGTTATCATTGGTCTGTACTTGCTATCATGGGGAAAAGAAAGTGATCAAAATTACAAGAAGCCACAACAATCTTTTCCAACAGATGTTGAGCAGAAAGAATGTGGAACAAATATAAAGACTTCAGCTGAGGAAGAGGTACCATAAAGGAACCTAGCAAGGACACCAATTAACAAATGTTGAAAGATGCACATAAGTGGTTGGCTTCATGATGTCCAAAAGCAAAATTAGACAGCACGATCAGTTAGTGATTATAAACTGCAACTTATAATGAATTATATGTACTTGTAGAAAGATTATGGCCCAGAGTATAGTGGGGTAAAATTAAATTATTATCATTCAATTAGTCGTAAATTGTCTTGTCAAATTGTGTGGGCTTTGATACGTCTGGCTTCTACTATTTCCTTCCAATTATCAGCTCCAGAGAAAAGGAGTCTTGAGAACACATTCCGGTACATACAGCATTGTCCGCATCTGAGTTAGATAAAAGAACTTCAATATGATCTGTTGGTCCTTGTGACCAGCTGTGGCTAAAGTGTTGTGAAAGCAACATTACTCAAGATAAGAAATTCCTCATTCCTATCTCCCCCAAAAGTTAAGAAATCTTTTTAATACATTTCGAAGGAAGTTAAGAACGAGAAAATAGCAAAAACAAACACTTACGCCATAATCTAGTAAGAAACAGGTACCCTTTTTTTGGTAATAAGAAATGGATAATTGATCAGCTCAAAATAGGAAGCATGATCTTTTGTACATGATAGATTGCCAATCCACCCTAAGTAAATGAAGAGGAGAGTGTTTCCTTTGATCTATTACAAGGTCTCGCTATATTGTGACACACACCATTTACGAAGAAAGTTTCATTGACCTACCAATTTTACCTCTCATGAATACTGTACTCAAGAGACAATAGATAGAATATTTACAAGCAGCGCAGAAGAAGATTACAATATATATCACAGCCTTTGTAAACCTTCCATGTACTTCAAAGAATTGTCTCCTTGCTCACTTTGCTTCTTCAAGTGATGCTCGTATTGTATCAGGGTTCAACATTTTATTAATGCTACAAAAAGACATACACTAGCATCAAAACAATGGACAAGGTAAATTGATAAAATTATAATTTCAGAATAGAAAGCATGTTTAAACCAAAGAAACTTACCAGAATAGGAGATCCCCACTAGAGGCGGACTTCTCAGAAATCCATTCTGGTACTAGTTCTAGCAACAAATTCAGCTGTTCTTCAACTTCACCTGAGAATACAAACCAGAACAATTTAGAGTTTCAAAAATTATGACATCATCATCATTTTTGCGTAGAACAGTGCCTTACCTCTGCCAACAATATCACAATGGCCTGAGATTATCTTACTCACAAGCTCCTCTTTCGTGATGACAGAGTGGTTTATTGAATGAAATAATAGGTGGATCATGTTAAAGAGCTTAGGGAGTCTGGCAATCATTTTTTGCCGCCTCTTTGCTTGTGAGACAGCTGGATCTCTTTCCTCCATTGCCACTCTTTCCTTTTCCCTAATCTGCAGAAGGAACAGTTAATCTTGATCCTAATCATGCAAAGGGTTAAAGTAAGCCTATACAGATGTTGGGTCCAATACTCATGAAATAAACAAATTCATAAAAGCGGGATTGTATGTGTATGTGCATTAAACCTGACTTATACACAAGCACCCTTTAATAAGCCATACACACAATTTACTCACTGGCTACAAATATACAGAACATAAGCCATACTTGATAGGACAATAAAAATAAAAAAAATCATTATTTCAATTATTAGCTACTAACAAGTAAATTCATATATGTTTAGTCAGTTTACTTTCAATATTTGAGAAGATTTCAACAATAATAAACAATTTTTCCCAGTGAATAATGTCCAATGTTAAATGGATGCCATGGCTGCAAAAATTTTAGCATCACAACAAGATGATTTAGCATTTAAGCTAATTAACCTATAGTTGAATACCGACTATAAACTAAATACCAATTTACCAAAACAAATAAATAAAAAGATCTTGTCAACGAAGGGCATACCGATTGGAGAAGATTCTCTGGGAGGATATCAAAAATATCATCATCAATTGATAAGCCACCATTATCAGCTTCACTCTCTGTCTGCTTGTTTTTCACTGGAGTGTCAAATTTCAATGACCTTGAACGCGGTGGACGCCTAACCAACTTGTTTGTACTGGCAGAGTTGTCATTGGGGCACATATGTCTTTTAGGTGTAGACAATGCAGGTGTGGCAGACATCAGCCTTAACGGAGTAGAAACTAGTTTAGCTGGCGTTGACATGGCATCAATGCTCTCGAGAGGCACATCTTTGCATGGAGTAGCAGGTGGATCACTCAGGCAATCTTGAGAAGCACAAATTGTTGTACACATTTCACTACTAGCTGCTTCTGAAGCCAACTTATCTGTGAATGTTCTGGAATGAGATTTAGTGCCCACAATGGGATGTTTTTTCTTCAGGCTTGACGCTGAAGCTGTAAAAGCCAGGGGTTGGGATGAATCTGATGGAAATTCTTGTGGTGCATCATCTTCTCCATTTTCCTTAGATTTCTGAGAAAAGCTCCTTCTAAAAGATTGAGACATATGAGAGGCTGGTGTTGGTCGCTGGTCAAGTGCTTCAATTGATGTCTTGACAGAAACTGTTTTTTCTATGTTAGCATGCTCTGTATTATCTACTATGTCATTATTCAGCATGCATGCTGACAATATTTTGGGAGGATGAGCTGCACATGCATCAAATAATGTCCCTGTAGTGAATGATGGGGAGGGAGTTATCAATATGTCTGGAATACGGCCTTGCTTTGGGTGATTGAATGGCTCAGGCAATGTTTCCTCTGGAATTTCATCACCCTATATGTACAAAGGGTGTTTTAGATCAAATTGCATGCATGATTTAAAAAGTAACAAATATGATTGCAGTAGCACTGCTCATAATCAAAAGTAAAACTGGATTCATTAAAACAATCATCATTCTTTAAGAATTGTGAATTTCAAAACTGTGGACAAGACCAAGTTGCTTCAGTAGCTGTTGAAGCGTTTCTGTCCAGAATTAAGCATTGAAGCTCATCAACAGAAAAATTTCCAATAGCAAGTGTTATACCCTAAGCATCTCATAGTGACAAAGTCAATGAATAAAGGGATTGCATATATATCAAAAGTAAATTGATGTGAGCAGACCAATCTAGTAATTTATCTTGTACCACAATCATGATACAAAGCTAGATGCTCACTAAGCAATGCTTGGCAGAGAATAAAAATGAAGGGAAAATTGCAAATATCCTAGTATGAATTGTCTGTACCTCAGGATGGGATTCACAAAAATCTCTGAGCCGCGAGCGAAATAACTTCCTGAGAGGCACACTCCCACAATCACGATCAGACTCCAGAGCATCAAGATCTATAGTAACATGTAGATCTGGCTTCATGCAACTTGTCCCTTCATCAAACACAAGTAATCTTTTTACAACAATTGCCTCAGGCAAGATAAATTTCAACTTGGCCAGATGACTATGTGTAAACCTCCTAAACAAGTCACAAAATCACAATCAGAAAACATGAATCAATTAAAAAAATTGGTTCAATATAAAACATTTAAAAAATAAATAAATAGAATTTGTGTTACAAAGAGTACCTGTCAGTTAAACATTCAACCTTACGGCTAATATTTGTGAAGGAAGTCTTAGAGCCTTTCAAGCGCAATAATCGAATCGAACTATCTAAGCCATCAAAGAACTCAGCCAGAATTTCATACCTGCACACAAACCCCAATACCTAAAAAATTAAAAAAATAATTAATTTTTCAAATTAAAAAAATATGCGAAACATTGGAATGCTTACTTCTCCGGAAGCTTAAAGGGTTCATTAGGAGCAGTCATGTGTTTAAGAGGGGAAGGCAATGCGATCTTCCTCCTTACAGTTTTGGCCTGAGACGATGTCGTATCATGGCGTTGAAGGCCCTCAGCGACCTTCCTGACGTCGGTGACGGAGAGCGCCACGCCACGGTTGCGCGTGCGCGGTGGATTGGTTTTCTGTGGGGTCTTGGAACTCAATTCAATGGGGTCTGGCGAATGGTCTTTCGACGATTTTCGGAGATGGGGCTTCTCGGATTTGCTGGTTTTTCCCATGGCTGCTTTCGATCTGTTAACACAGTGACAAAGATCGGGGTGTGGATTCTTATAAACTAGGGTTTTTAGCGCGGGAAAATTGATGCGGTTCTCCCGTGGCTCGATGACACGTGTGTTCCCGCCAAAATGATCCGTTGGTTCCCGCAGTAAAAGATTCCAACCAATGCGAGTATGATTAAAATAGGCCCAAGATAATAGATAATGGGCCTTCTCCAACGATCTGAGCCCACTTGGATTTTAACGTAGCCCAAGATAATGGAATGATGGAAGAGGATATTCCTTCTTAGTTACTGCGTCTACGCTAAAAGCAAGAGGCGAAAACTTGTGGGATAAGTATACCGATTGCGAAAACTTGCATTGCAATGGCATCGCCACCTCTAACAATATTATACTATTATATGAAATAATATAAATATAGAAGAGTGAAATTTCAAAGGATTTAAAAAAAGAATTAATTAAACAAAATATACTCCCTTTTCTCCTTCAGAGTTGGCTCGATGGAATTATCCTTCAACTAAAATTCACCATATTTTTAAAGTTGAATGTGTAGTGTGTATTATAAAGAATAATAACCTTATAAATAAATGCTAACGAACTTGCTCATCACAAACTCAGCACTTTATTTCAGAATCCATGCTAACCCAGCCATATTAAATAAATTATTAAATTTCGCATGTCATATTCATAAATTAGATGAGTATATTATATAAATACAATTAATTAATAATTCACATTAATATATTATTATAAAAATAATATTGCATTTTTACTGTTTTTATCCTGTAATAATATTGGCATGGGATATTTTATCTATTTTTTTTTTCTTTCATGCCTACCTTCTATACTTATCTTAAACACTGTTAGATTAGAATTTCAACTAATATTCACTCTTTCTCTTTTCTTTTGAGATTGTGATCCAATGATGTTGGAGATAAACAAGTAGAATATGAATGAAAAAAGTAGACATAATGTCACATCCCAATAATATTGGAGCAAGTTTATGGTTATAATTCAATCTTTCTTTTTTCTCTTGAGATTCTGATCCAATGATGTTGAAGATGCATATATAAGCTAAGCATGAAAAAGAGATAGATAGAATATGATAGAAATTAATTCCTTAATCTTTATGGTGAAAATCATCATCCAATAAAGCTCAGATACATTATATTAAAGGGATTTAGTTTTGTCAAGTAACATAATGCAATTGGATTTTCCTGCACAAACATATTTTTGCGGGTCCCACCATTTTTGTAAAAAAAAATAATTAGAAAGAATAGGCTCGCGAGTCGATGGCTCTGCAGGAATGGATTCTCCTATTATGTAACATAACAGTTATATTACCCTATATTAAATCATCAAGAAATATAAAACAAACAAGGCGTACCTGTCTCCATTGTAGCAACGATGCATCTCTAATCATCTCGAGTCTCTAGCTTTGCCTTTTGAGCTTTGGTCTTCCTCAGTCAAATCACTTATTAGAAGAGGACATTCTCTATAGATAAAAAAAAGAAAGAAACTGAAATTGATTTGAGTTGTCGGAGACCATAACCTTAGGTTTAGTTTCTATAATATTGTTCCATTAAGCACTCTTTGCACCTAATTGTGCCAATATTAGGTATCTACTCATTAGGCTCGTATCGAATTAGAAATTCGATTGAGATCTATTATATTGATAACTTATTTACCCATTAATTAAATAACATGATATAATTATTAATTGATATTTAAATGTGTAGCCCGCAATTATATTAAGAAATAAATTTTTTTAACAAAATATTCTATCCCATATATATATGGGTCAAAATTATTTTGCACCAATGTAAGTTATACTCTCAATCTTGATTGTTGATTCTATTTAAATCTAATATTTTTGATTTATTAAATATTTGAACCATTAGATGGAAGCAAGTCAATGATCAAAATTTGATGTACATAAAAATATCTTGACCTCTCTCTCTATATATAATTGTTTCATGATACAAAAAAGGTTATATATATAATTATTTCATGATACAAAAAAGGAAAATATGTGTTTATACTTCGAATAGTTGATTTTAAATGAGTTTTATTAGTCTCATTTAACATAAGATAGTTATCTTATGTTGTAGAAAGAAAATAGGTGAGTTCCACCATTACAAGAAAAAAAAAATGAAGTACGAATATCGAAATGAGAGAACATAAGAAAAAATATCTTATGAAAAAGGAGAGTAATATTTCCCTTTTAAAATTAAAAGCTGAAGTAGCAGAAGTCAGAAATCACTAGATTGTAAAACGATGGAGAGAGAGAGAGAAATGTTTAGGTAATTACTTTTTATTCTTAGAGAGAGAGAAAGTATCTCTATTTGAATTTTGGTCGTTTAACTAAAAATTATGAAAATTAAATTTTAAAAAAGTTGAAGATTTATCATGATCTTAAAATGAGGTGGTTTAAAACAAAAAAAATTAAACAAAAAATACCTAGTCCTCCGCAGTAGTTTCTTGTTTCTTGATAAATCCTAATCCAATTATAGAAGAAATTAAAGAAACAAGAAAGGAGAAAGGGAAGTGGAAGCAGAGAAAAGAAAAAGAGTATAAACAAAGTTTTTTTTTTTCAAAAAAAAAAATCCCATATTTTTCATATGAAATAATTGTGACTGGAATTTCCTCTTCGTCCACGCAACCAAAAACAACAAAACCCTCTTCTTCTCTTTCTTTTCCTTCGTTGTCTTCTCCGCTTATTCAATCACTTTCTCATAACTTGTCTCGTTCTTAAATTCTTCAACTTTCTCTTCCTTATTCCCCCCCAAATTCTCTTTCTGGGTATCCTCAACTTGCCTCTTTCCATGTTTTCTGCTTAGTCCAAGGTATCTTTTATCTCTTTCCATCTATATTTTGTTTTTTTCCTACAAAAAAGAAACCATCTTTTAATGCTTAAATTCTTATATTTTCTGTTATTTTTCTTGATACTGAACATCGGGTTTGTGGGGGGGTTTCAAGAAGCGATTTTTTTCTCTCTTTTTTAAATTCTTTTATGCTTGTTGTTTTACGGAATTTGTTTTGTCGCCAGGACTGGTTTTTTACTTATCTAATTGTGGTTACAAGTGTCAATAAGTATGTAATGTTGCGGTTGTCTCGTAATGCAGTTGTACTTTGATGTCTATCTGGATTATTCTGATCAATTAGATACACTATGCCACAGCTTCTTCCCATTCTTCATTTTTTTTTCTGTGGGCAACCCAAAAAGCTCATTGCTTTTTCACTTGCCCCTCCAAATGAAATAAAAGTGTGGGGGTGGGGCAGGGGGAATCTTCTTGTGCTTACACTTGGCTAGTGAAACTGAAATTTGAAACCTTTATCTGACCCTTGAAGTTTGGTGTGGATATGATATGATCCAATTGGTTTAGGCCTTATTTGTGACATCATTGGCACGTTATGTAGTCATGTCCTCTGCAGTGTGTTCCATTATAGATGTGTTAGACCAGCATGATGGCTATTCCATTTGCTTGTTAGTGAGGACTCCCCTCCTCTTCTAACTCCTTATGAGATGCCAGGATTGGAGTGAGATAGATAGTGGTGATGGGGTATGATGTGCATTCTTTGGTAGAAATCATTGTCAATATGTTTTATGGGGGCTGATTCCAACCATGTGATATAATACCTTACTGAGCTGACCATATTTTTATTGGTGATTTGCAAATATTAAAGTTGTAAATTTTATGGTCCTTGTTTAATTTGATAGCTCATGAGGCTAAAGTATGACATACTATCTCTTTCTGTGCTGCCTCTGGCAGAAACTGATATTGATTCTGTAATGTCTGTAGAACCTTTTCATAACCGTTTAGGTCTTTGGGGCATGGACTGGCTGTTTATGCCCACTGTCAGTGTCTGTGAACAATGTTTATCAGGCCAAGAGATGCAAATGCTTTTAGTATATTCAAATGGAAACGTCAAGGTGAATCATCAGTGACAACAGGTTTACTTCAGGATGTTCCGCCAGAGGTTGAATTGTCTGATTATAGAAGGATCCCAAGTCCAGGTAGTGAGAGCCCTTCAGGGCTTCTTAACGGTGAGAGCCTAAATGTAGAACCAATTGCCGATTTGGATCTCTTCTTTGAAAGGCTTTACAGCTACTACTGTGAGAAAGGGCTTTGGTGCATCGTCATAAAGTGGATTGTTGAACTTCTGAGTCTAGGGTTCACCATATGTTTTTCAGGATTTTTTTTACTATATGTTGATTGGAATGGGCTACGTAATGCAAAGTGTGGGATGGATGCAGTTGAATCTGGAATGAAGCCCTGTGATCTTGCTAAAGAAGCTCTTCATCAACACCCTTTAACTCCATTAACACTTAACAAAGCTATTATTGTTGGATACTTGGGAATATTTTCCATCTATTGGATATTTTGCTTCTTGAGATTCTTTGCTCAACTAAAGGATACTCTGGAAATCCGACAGTTTTACTACAATAGGTAAGTATGAATGTTAAACAATTAAAATGTATTGAAGGGATTGATAAATTTTGCATGAATCAAGTGTTTTTGCCATAATTTACGATGATCTTCTTGCAGTCTCCATGTTACCGACAATGAAATTCAAACCATGCCCTGGGCTAAAATTCTTGAAAAGGTCGATCTGGTGCAAAGCTCACGACAACTATGTGTGGTAAAGGATCTTTCTCCTCATGACATGGTGATGAGGTTGATGCGGAAGGAGAACTACTTGATTGGAATGATCAACAAGGGTGTGCTTGCTTTCCCCATTTCTCAGTGGATCCCAGGTGCTGGTCCTACTGTGAAATCTGGTACTAATGGAATACAATACCGTCTAATACTAACCAAGACCCTTGAGTGGACATTGAATTGGTGCATCCTGCAGAGCATGTTTGATCGGTATGTTAATTATTGTACATATACCTTTTCATGTACAATCATGGTATTCAATATCATTTGGTCCTGTAACTTGTAAATATATGGCCTTTTATCATCTAAGACTCAGTTGTAAAATTTCCAGTTTAAACCATTTTGAGAAAATGATGTGTTAGTTTGAAGGATGCGATGACCATTTAGGTGTAGGATGGTGACTCATAGAAGGTTACACTTGATACATAACTATCTATTTGTTTATGCACTTAACTATTAAGAGACATATTTCTTGTTAATCTGGATGTTATGCTTGAAAATTGTTGGGTGGCTGGATCGCCTTGAACAACTTTTTGAATATCTTAACTCCATTTTTATGTAAAGCTGCAAATTGCCATACACTGCTGTAAGACAAGATTCAGTTAGCCTAAAAAGCAGTCCATCTTGTGTTTAGGAGATGGTTATGGTTTTATGAATGACGCAGTATTCCCTTCTTTCTTCTCCTATCGGATTAGTCATGCCACGTGATTGCTATGATTTAATCCCCTGTGGAACCTCCTTACGTATACCGTCATGGTTCTATCACGGTATTAGTAATAGTATCATCTTTCACATTCTTATATTTCAAATAAATATGTTCAATTTCTAAAGTAACAGTTTGCATTTATTTTCCTGTTTTGACAAGTAATAAAAATTATTTTGTTGTGGTGGTACTGCTACCAAATGATTGAAATTGTGAATAACTCATAATAGGGCCTGAAGTCATAGGTTTCACACTATCTTATATCTGTAAAACTGCTACAGAAACAAAGATATATATTTTTCTTTTTGTGGTTAAGATAGTGACTTAATGTTTTGAAAAGGTGAACCTAGGTCAATGAATTAGAGAACTATTTGATATTTTCTCATATGGGCTTCTTCTGAATAGACTATATGGTGCTTGCATGCTAAAATGCTATGGGGCTCAACCAAAAGTGGCACAAAATGTTGTGCTGGCTCATGCATCCATTTAATAAGGAAGAGGGAGGTTTGTTGATCCCTTTAAAATTCAAGTTGTATTTGTTTCAACTGGGAAGTAGTACAAAGAAACAGGGTTTTTTTATATAAGTTGTGACAAGATTTTATGCTTGCTTATTGTGTATAACAGTATTCTAACAAATTTTTTTATTTTAGTAGTGGGAGGAGGGGTACAGAGGCTTTGCTCATGTCTGAAGCTGTATAATATCCTTGACATTGATTGTCCCTGGACTGTGAAAAGAAGTTTCAATGAAATTGGCTGGAGATTGGACATTATCAAGCTCTTGTGGATATAATTAAGCTGAACATATGAATGATATCCCTGACTGATTTTGTGATGGATAATAGAACCACATATAGAGTCACCTGGAGATGTTGTATATATTAAATGAAATGATAAGGCTTTTACTAGTCTGGATAGCCATTCTAGGAGTGTTAGGAAGTCAGAGAGGGGGTTAAGCAGTAGCAGAGGGTAATTCGTGAACATTTATTTAGTTCAACATTTTTTAACTTGTATATGTATTCCATATGAATGCATGTAGACTGACTTATGTGGTGATTTGGTTAAGTAATTTGTATGATAATGCTAATTACACTATTCTGTTTTAAATGATGGTTTTCTCCTTTGAACATACTTTCTCTGCAGAAACTTTTGTGTCAGAAGGGATTTTGTGTCAAATCCAAAGACATTAAAGAAAAGGCTCATGGTAGTTGGGCTTGCAATGCTTTTACTCTCTCCATTTCTTGTCATATTTATGCTGGTATATCTCTTTTTGAGGCATGCTGAACAATTTTATAATCACCCAAGCACAGCATCATCTCGAAGATGGTCAAATTTGTCAAGATGGATATTTAGGGAATTCAATGAGGTATTATTATTCTTTTCTTGGTCCTTTTTTTCCAGCTCTTTCACTGCTTGAATGGGTTTCATGTTGGTACCTGAAAATAATAATTATGCAAGAATGATTTAAATTTATTAACAGTTATTGATGAATATGCTGGCTTTGCCCTTGGGCCAGTACCTTGCCCTGGCAAGTTGCAAGTTGTCAGAGACAGATTGAATTGTAGTGCTTGGTCTGGTGCAAACTTTTTCTACCCGAGTAAACCAGCCTCTGCTCCTCAATTCAATCTAACTCAATCCCATGTATGCCTTGCCCCGGCAAGATTGTATCCCAAAGCCAACAAAACAAACCTTGTTTGAAAGTAATGAAATATCACTCCTGGAAAGATGATATTATTTTAGTTACTAGGTCACTTATCCTCACATAATTTTGAATATTGTCTCTACTTCATCATTAAACATTAATGAATGAAATGACAGATTGAAAGTTCAGTGTATTTAACAGAATTTTTTTATTTGTTTAACACAAGTTATTTGAAGAAATCTATATATTAGTGAGTAACTAAATATATATGTTGCATATGAAATTTTGTAAACATGTTGTAAATGTGCTTTCTTGTAACGATAAAGTTATTCTTGTTTGTAAGTGGTATTACTTATTAACTTTCTATAGTTTGAAACTAGCACCTAGTTACCATTTTTAGCAAAATTTCACTTGTATTTCTTTTGATTTTGTGCTCAAGCTTATCAATGACTTGTGTTATATATAGGTGGACCATCTCTTCAAGCATCGGATTAATAGCAGTGTTTTACATGCTTCTGATTATCTCAAGCAATTTCCTTCACCTATCATATCTATTATTGCAAAATTCATCTCTTTTGTATCGGGTGGCTTTGCTGCAATTCTGATCATCATCGCATTTCTAGAGGAGTCTCTGCTAGAGGGTCATGTAATGGTTTTTCCATGCCTTTGCTAAAGATAATTTATGCAAAATGTCATGATAGTCATTAATAATGATTTATCTTTCTTTTTTCAAAACAAAAACCAATGCAGATATTTGGTCGGAACTTGTTTTGGTATGCTGCTGTTTTTGGAACTATAACTGCTATTAGCCGGGCTGCAATTACAGACGAGATTCTGGTCTTAGACCCTGAAGGAGCAATGTCTATGGTAGTTCAGCATACACATTATATGCCAAAGAGATGGCGTGGCAAAGAAAGTACTGAAATGGTCCGAATCGAGTTTGAAACCTTATTCCAGGTTCTCTCTCAGGGGTTGGTTTAATACATTTACTTTAAACTAGACCCATCCTTATGTGTTCTTCGTTCTTTTCATGATTGCATAGATTTGAGTACTACTTCTCATGCTCCTATGTTTTTTGTTTGGTGCAGTATACTGGGATGATGTTACTTGAGGAGATGGCCTCAATTTTCCTCACTCCATACTTGCTTTTGTTGGTTGTCCCAAAGGTCATTACTGTATTTGGTCATAACTACATTCGTATGCGATATAGTATAACTTTATTTACGCCATATAGTATGATGCTTTTAACTGTGTTCTTTTCAATATGCAGCGGGTTGATGATATCTTGCAGTTCATTGCTGATTTTACTGTGGATGTTGAAGGTGTTGGTCATGTTTGCAGGTTAGCATGGAATGTTGTAATTTTCATCTTTTATAGGTTGGATCCCCTTGTCTCTGGCAATTCTTGGGGCTTCTTATATTAAATTTTCTGTTTCCCTATTTTAATGTATTAATGGCAGGCAGACCATAATTAACTATGTTTTGTTGTATGATATTGCAGTTTTAGTGTCTTTGATTTTCAAGCTCGTGGAAACAGTAATTACGGTTCCCCATACAGTGTGCCACGCAGCCAGAGGAGTTCCCAGGGGAAGTTGGAGAAATCATTTTTGAGGTATGTTCATTGCTGAGCTCACCATAGTCATATGACTAATCTGATTGAGTTCTATTACTATTTATTTTCATTGAGGTTGTTTTGACCCTCTCGGGTCTTAGATATAGATATGTTGTGTGAATGAAGATCATGCAAGAATTAAGAAGTTAATCAAGATAATATTAGGCTGCAAAAAGCAGAGAAAGAAAGTGATGGTACCAATAAAAATCTGATCTATATTTATCTCTTAAAAGGCAAGCCCAGATACAAGTTTGTCTCTACCCTACTATCACGAATAACACTCCGTAATTAACAACCAGCAATGAAACAGTAATCCTATTACAGACTATAAAATAGAAAATAACCAAGCACTGTAAATGAACTGATAGATGACTCCCTAACCAACTCCCCCAACAAGGAAAGACAACCATTCCTTATTGAGTTCCCCTTTTCCCCCAAATTCTGAATTTGCTCATCTGATACCCCCACGATCCTCCACTCCTTCTTTTATAACTAACTCCTCATCACCTTTTCCTCCAATACCCTCCTCTCCATTAAGCGCATTCCACGTGTAATCTTTTATAACTAACTCATTATCCCTTTTTTCCTTCAATTCCTTGCCAGAATCCACATTTACAGAATCCATATTGGGCTTATCGTCTTGGGCCTTATTTTTCTTCTCGTGTCTTCACTCATATACTAACTTCAGTGGTCCAACAGAAAGTAAGGAAGTTTTATGCCATGTCATTTGGAATAAAAGTAAAATGATGTTACACTTCCCCCATGGTTGGATTTTGGTGTATACAGATAAAGCTCTTAAGGCTGAGACAACTTATCTCTTGAAAGTTCTTAACCGCTCTTACAAAATGCAGATGGAAAGTGTTGCCTATATGATTATTTCTTTTGTTTCTCTGTTCTCATTGCAGCTTTCAGAGTAGTTACCCTTCATGGGAACCAAATGCTCAGGGGAAACAGTTTTTGCTAAATCTAAGAACGTTCAGAGAGCAGAAGTTACCAGGAAATGGAAACAGACATGAATTTTCCCCTCTTAGAATGTGGAGAGGCAGTCCCAACATGGGAAGCAATGGAGATAGAAACAGGTTAATATCTGGGGAAGTGCCATATAGTACTTTGGCAACTCGCAATAACTTGGGTTCATTGTGGCTAATTGAGGCCAATCAAAATAATCATCCATATCTTCTTGACTGGTACTACACTTCCAGACCTCATGATGTGACTTCAAGAGATGTTCCAACAGATCCATTTGAAGTAACTGAGTATCATTCCAGAGATTGGATGCCCTCCAATTTGGCACAGAATGAACCTACCTATGAAGAATACTTAAATGAGTATTGTGATGATAGGGCTGTTTCTCATCTTGGGGCTTCTACATCAGCTCCCATCTTCAAGGAAAGCCTAATTCAGGATAAAAATTCCAGTGATCTGCCCCACACTACCAGGAGTCATTGGTGGGCTAGAAGTCAATTGCAAGGTGGAGATGGTCAAACAAGCTTTTTTGAGCCTCCAGATTTCAATCACCAAGCTGCATATAATAAGTACTATGATAAATTTTCTGATAGAGGGTCAGAGGATCAAGATCAGGAACAAAACTTGTACTGGAGAGATCATCAGAAATTGCCTAGTACAGCACAAACAGATGACTCAGAAGCAGGAGAATTCAATCTTCATTTTGATGATATTTATAGCAGACCTCCAGAAAATCCCACTGTAAATCCAAGCTCTTCAAGCTTTTGAATGATGGCTTTGTCCTTCATTATTTATTTGGGTGGTTCTTGCTTTCAAGGATCTGGAATACAAGAGTTTCCAAGTCATGATTGTGCCTTCTATATATACATTTATGGAAAGTGGAAACTCTATTTTTTGCTGTATATAGATTCTTTGACATGAGATTAGATTGTTATGAGGACCCAGGATGGGCTAAAAGGCTTCTGGGCCTGCCTTCCAGGTTTAAGAACCATAGTTTCTTTTTCCTTTTCTTTAATAATTCATTTTATCCACTGTTCTAATTCTTTCACCCATTTTCTAGGTACCTAATTTATGTTTCATGTTCAATTTAGTATCTTTAAAATTGGCGGACATTATCTTTTTGAAGAAAATTTCATGGAATTTTAAATCTTTAAACTTTTCACTGTCAATTTTATGGTATTGCAAACTCACGTTGAAATCTTGAGGCAAATAATTTTATCCTAAAATTTACTATTTGATTTTAAGATTTTATTACATTGGTCATATTTATAAAATATTATATTAATTTAAGACTATTTAATACTTCCTTAATAAATAATTGTTGTCATCATAATATATATTTTAAAAATATATGAAAATAAGAATCATTTAATTATATTTTATTGTTTAATTTTCATAAAATTTGACATAAATAATTAAGACATTTGATACTTAAAATTCAATGGTAGGATTGATAAAATTTCTATTTTAAATGAAATGTGATTATTTTATGGGCAAACTTTTTCTTATGCCGCAGGCAAATGAATTTGTTTTCCTGCAGTAACATAGAAAACTGTGTCTCATTTTCTACTTAATTTTTTTTTATAAAACGATGGGACCCATAGTTTCTTTCTATCAGCAGAAAATTGGACAATTTTGCTGTAAAAGGAGAAAAGCAAATCCCTTATTTTATATTAGTGTAAGACATTTAATCTTAGTCTTTCATCTTATCATGATTTAATGGCTATGAAGTTATTTTCGGATTGCAAGAGAAATATTAAACCCAATTAATTAACCTATAATTATTTATTTTTGGCTGTTATTAGCCCATGATTTTCAAATGTTAAGAATATTGTTGACTTTTAAAAGACAATAAATAAATAAATAAGAAAAAAAGAGCGAGAAGACCTGAACCAAGAAAGCTTACATTACATTTGAGAGATTAAATCTATGAAGGAAGAAGCATCGATAAACTGGAAATTAAAGTTTAAGAAAAAAAAAATTATATAAAAATAAAGTTTAAGAAAAAATATAATAATAATAAGATTGCAGAAAATGAATATCTCCTTCGAGGGTTTTGCCAAGGTTTAAAACACACAACTCAACGTCTTAACAGGAACATAAAAAAGAAACATGAGAAACCTCTGGAATTCGATCGCGTTGTTCTCTCACTTTGCTCGTCGCAGAACAAGTTCTTTGTCTCCTCTCCTTTCTAGAACCTATGCACCTCTCAATCGCTGCAACGGAATTCTCACGAGACCCACCAATTTTTCCCTCACTCCATTTCGATACATGGAGACCCTGATCGAGAAACCCTCTCAAATCCCCTCAAGGCAGCGCAAAATAAAGGAAAAATCAGACCTTGAGGAAGCTTTTGAGTCTGCAGAAACCATTGAGGAAATGCTCAAGGCTTTCAGGGTTATGGAGGAAGGAGCTTTTAATGAGAGAGAGCTTGGCTGGGCTTCATTGAAAATTGGTCTCAAACTTGACCACGAAGGTGAGGACCCTGAAAAAGCTCTTTCTTTTGCTCACAGAGCTTTGAAAGCTTTGGATAAAGATAACAAGCCTTCTTTGCCTGTTGCCATGGCTTTGCAGTTGATGGGGTCCGTTAATTATAGCTTAAAAAGGTTTAGTGATAGTTTGGGGTACCTTAATAGGGCAAATAGGGTATTGGGTAGGTTGCAGGTTGAGGGTGAGAGTGTTGATGATGTTAGGCCTGTGCTTCATGCTGTGCAACTTGAGTTGGCAAATGTTAAGACTGCCATGGGGAGGAGGGAAGAGGCACTTGAGAATCTTAAGAAGTGTTTGGAGATTAAAGAGATGACTTTTGGGGAAGATAGTGGAGAGTTAGGCAAAGCAAACCGTGACTTGGCTGAAGCTTATGTTGCGGTTTTGAACTTTAAGGAAGCCTTGCCTTATTGTTTGAAGGCGTTGGAGATACATAAAAAGCAATTGGGGCAGAATTCTGTAGAGGTTGCACATGATAGGAAACTTCTTGGAATTGTGTATAGCGGGTTGGAGGAACATGAGAAGGCGCTGGAGCAGAATGTTTTGGCGCAAAGGATTTTGAAGAATTGGAATCTTAACTCTGATTTGTTGCGCGCGGAAATTGATGCTGCAAATATGATGATTGCTCTGGGAAGATATGATGAGGCTGTTGGTACTTTGAGGAATGTTGTACAGCAGACTGATAAGGACAGTGAGACTCGAACACTTGTGCTCATATCAATGGCAAAAGCATTATGTAATCAGGAAAAGTTTGCAGACTGCAAGAGGTGTTTAGAGATTTCTCTTGGGATTCTTGACAAAAGAGAACGGATATCCCCGGTGGAAGTTGCTGAGGCATACTCGGAGATATCCATGCAGTATGAAACCATGAATGAGTTTGAAACTGCAATTTCGTTGCTGAAGAGGGCACTAGCTTTGCTTGAGAAGTTTCCACAAGAGCAGCACTCGGAGGGAAGTGTCTCTGCAAGAATAGGGTGGTTACTAATGCTGACAGGCAAGGTGCAACAGGCTATTCCTTATTTGGAAAGTGCTGCTGAAAGATTGAAAGATAGCTTTGGTCCCAAGCATTTTGGAGTGGGTTATATTTACAACAATTTGGGGGCAGCATATTTAGAGTTGGATAGACCCCAGTCAGCAGCACAGATGTTTTTAGTAGCAAAGGATATCATGGATGTATCCCTTGGTCCACATCATGCAGATACAATTGAAGCTTGTCAGAACCTGTCAAAGGCTTATGGTGAGATGGGAAGGTATGCATAGTTTTATTGGTTTTACTTCACATATTGTTTCTCTTGATTTGTTGATTCTATGAACAATTTGTGTAGGGTACATTTATTATAATATATAATGTTCTTCATCCTATGTAACTCTAGTGGTCTAAACACTTAACTTTTGAACACATACCCTACATTGTACCATCCAGATTCCGTCAGAACTATTGTGAAATTCCTGGATGGCTGAATTCTCATGCACTCTACTTTAACAATGTATTACAGAAAAAAAGGCTGTACAATGATTAATATATCTGTATGTGTTTTCTCGTTATGTTTACTGACTGCTTCCTAATAATAATTAATTATGCAAGGCTCCTAGTCCTTTTACTTTATGTGTCTCCATCTCATATTGTTCTTATCATCTCTCAAACTAAGTTTTATTGCCTCCTAAAAATGAGTTAATTTGTAAACCACTTACAAAAGATTTCTGATTTGGTGGTCGCACAGCAAAGAGTTTATTCTTCAAATATTAGATGAAATGTAATTGAGTTGAAACAGAAATCCTTGAGGGTAGGTCTTGAGTATACGGGATTATGTCCTGAGCCCATATTCACATATTGAAATGCTGCAAGTAGACAGCCATCAAAGATTTGCTTCCATTTTGAACTTTCTGTGAAACTTATTTCATGATTGAGTTCGGTCCAGTTTGAGCTCAATTGAAGATGTTATTTTATTTGCAGTCTACACAGATTTCATTTTTAAAGTTGTTATGTACATGATCCTATCCTGGGAATTTATGTTGGAGTTTTATCCTATAGTGCAGTTGCTGTTTGTTGAGCACATATGACATGTAGTTTATATCTCAAGTTCATGTTGGAGAATCTACAATTATGTTTGCCACCATCTGCATGTGTTATTTCATATTGCTGCAAATAAATACGAAGATGTTATGTTAAAGATTGATTACTTAAGATTTTTGGTAAGCTACCTCTTATGTTTAATTATTATTATTGGTGATTGAGTTGGATTTCATGATTCATTAAATTCAAACCCAAATACTCTTGATTCCGGGTTAATATTGGTAAATAGGAAAGTGACGGTTGCTATTTTTATGCTGTAGTGTCAATCATTAAGTGTGCAGATTTTCCTCACCTTTTCCTTTCTCAAATAGGAAAGAAAGGGTTGTTATTTTTAAGCTGTAATGTCAGTATTCCAGTATGCACATATTACTTTCTGCAAAACAGTATTTGACATTCTATAATGTCTCTTGCAAGAACCAAAATATGTAATATTACCTCCCTACTTTTTATCCATCTAACCTCTGGTCTACTTCTAGTTTAAGGAAGTATTTTGTTATCTTAGTTGTCTGAGATGCTTAAAATTGTTTACTTAAAATTTTCTTAATTGTTCCATTTCTCCTTTACTTGTATTAGAAAGTGAATCGAGCGATATAATATTTATTTTTTATTGCAATAAACTTTGGGAATGGGAAGAATGTGTTTATATTTGAGCCTTGGTTGTTCCCAGTTCAGAGCTTCTCTTAATAGACGAATCAAATGTAACTATACTCTCTTATTGGGTGAATGGATTGTGCAAGCATGTTTCTGTCTCTTGTTTTCCCTTCTGTCTCTCTAGGGAGATGTGCAACTATCTCTAATTGTTTAATATATTTGTCGTGGCATTGGCAAGTGATATATGTCTGGTCAAAGGGATATATTTATGTTCGATTTTTAAAAAAATTGAGTATTGGAATTGCAGTTATGCCATTGCAATTGAGTTTCAACAACAAGTTATTGATGCTTGGGAAAACCATGGAGCAAGTGCAAGAGATGAATTTAGAGAAGCACACCGGCTTCTTGAACAATTAAAGGAAAAAGCACGCGGTGCCTCTGCGAATGAGTTTCCTATGAAGGCTTTGCCCTTACCTCATACACCTACAGCATCCAGGAGCTCCGAGCCTGACATGCCATTACATCAATCAAGAACAGCTTAGCAAACTTATTGCCATTGCATATTCTCATGAATTTTTATGGTATTGATAATTGGTTGCTGGGTTGGAGATTTCTTTACGGATTTATTTAGGTAATAATAACTGAAATTAAGTTGTAGTTATATATCTCAATCATATATTTGGGGTTTGTCATTATATTACTCTGATTTGATTTTCTTAGTGGTACTTTGTCATTATTCATTATTATGGAATTTCCTCTTCAAATAATATAATAATTTCAAAATGGTAATTTGAATCGTTGGTAGTAAGACACAGAATAATTAATGTAGGAATCATTCATCAACCTATTAACCGCTGGGTTTTTGAAATTATATTCTAAATGGAAGTCCATGTGGCAGCTATGTGTAAGTCAGCCATGAAGTGCTATTTACATTTTACAGAGAAAGAGGTGCTCAAGTCCTAAATTATTTTGTATAAGCTAATCCTTAATTCATTTATGTTCTCTTGATTCTTGACAGATATCTCTATCATACATCTATTGCATGTACCCTTCATGATATATTGTGACCTCACAAAAGGTCTAATAACCCCTAGTCATGGGGAGGGTAGTGGTTTAGAGGAACATGGATAGAGGTGGAATACCAGCTACAGTATCAATATCAAGCCATATTTATTGCTGTGGTATGTAGTTGCCCAATATTCATATGATTGCGGTGAGGCAAAAAGGAACTTGTGATAAATTTCAAAATAGACATTTCTCATGCTAGTACTTATGGGTTCTTATTGTATGGGTCCCTCTGATCTGGCTTCCAACAAATAGCTTCTCCCAATCATACCTGTTTGTTTGCTCTGTCTCGCTGCATTCTCCCACCTACCTTCCCATTCCCCGGGCCCAAATCCACACACTCAAATAAAGGAATAGGAATCATGAACATGACAGCATAAGCATGAAGAAAAGATGGACACAGAAACAAAATGTTTTGACAACTTCTCTAATACTAGTACCCACTAAAAAAGAGTTATATGGAACTGATACCCTACCAACAATCATTCACAATCATTTGTGAGTAAAAACTAAACTTCAGAAAGGAAAAGACCTGCACCTTGTAATTTAAGCAATGGTACTAGAAGCATTTTATTTTTTCCCACAACAATCCTAGTGTCAAACTCACTAAGTCACTACGTTTACCACTACTAAGATTTTAAGATCTTACTTCTTTTTGATAACTGAGCCTACTTGAATTTAAAGATCTTCATTTTGATAACTGGAAATAAAGAAAACAAAATAGAAAATGAGAAGGGAAAAATAATTGAAAATCAACTGACATTAAACATCCTTCTCCAAAGGAAGGACTGCATTTTTGGATCCCTTTCCATAACAAAATGGAAAGAATGCTCTTCGACCTCTGCTATTACAATCCTCACTAGCACTAGCCTCATTCTGATGCCTATTATGCTGTATAATGGCTTGAGCATCCAAGTAAAGTTGTCTATCTTTTGCAGAATCCATTGAGAAAGATCTTCTAATAGGCTCAATACAAAACTGGTCGTCTTTCTTTCTAATATCAATACACTCATCTCCCATGATGGAAACATGGTGGCACTTCCTTGGTTTCAAGTTTCCAAGCTTCTGCTGCTCCACCTTCCTTGTAGAGTGGTTTCTACTCTGTGCTAGGCTTCCCCTTGAGTCATTTCTTTCTTGTTGCGCCTGTGGCAATACTCTCCCAAGTTCAATAACCACAAAATCTTCATCACTACCCATCATGTTAGAGGGTAATTGAGAATCCTGAGGAGAAGAACTTGGAGCTATGATATGGTCCAATGGACAGTGTGTGTTGCCTGAAATGCTTGATCTACAAAGAGGACAATTGACATTGGTCTGAAGCCAAATGTCAATGCAATCCAAGTGAAAGGCATGGCTGCAATTAGGTAGAACTTTTAGCACGTCCTGTTCTTGAAACTCAGTCAAACAAACCACGCAGCCATACACACTTTGATTCCCACCTTCTCCTTTTATGAACTGAAAAGTTGGGATTTCTCTGATGACAGATTCATCAAGCCCCCGGTTCCACATGGCAGGAGACAATGCTATGAAGGGATCCTCGTTCGGTCGAGCTCGCAGGATGGAAATCCATCTTACCGGGTTAACTTGATGCCAGTTTGAGCAGCATTTGCTCAAAAAAGTAAAGTAACTGAGGAGCAACAAAACGGTGGCCAATATGCTGAGCACAGCAATGGCAAATATGGGAAAAGCATAGTCTGAAGCAGGTTGTGGTGGGTAGTGGAGGGTTTTGATGGGTGGGAGAGCTTGATATCCAAGCTTGTAGGAGTAGTTCTTGTCCAGTGCCATAATCAAAGCTCTGAATGGGAGATATGGAATGCCTTAAAGTTTAGGTTCATGGAATAAATAGGTTTGACTAATGGGATTAGTAATGTAAAGAAAGAAATCATCTTGTCTTGGATATAAAGAAGTCATGCAATCAAACTAAATTTAATAAGATAGTAAAAGTTTTATGTTAATTAGTTAAAAGAAGTCTTGAGGAAAGTGTAAGTACCTATCAATGAAATGGATTAGTTCTAAGTAACAGACTAACAGGCACATGTGCTGATTACAAGGAAAATGAACAACTTAAAGAGAAGCACAAGGGGTCAAGATTTGACTTAATGAGGAAGGTATACAAAGTGGGAGTTTGTATTAATGTAATTGTAGCCTATTTTAAGTGTGTTAGTTACTATTGGAGTTTTCTATCTTCTCTTATCTGAACGTTGCATTTTTACCCCCCATCCTCAGCTTAGTGTCATTGATGGTCCTACTACCTTACTACGGCATGCTCCAAGCATGTGTTCAGATTGATTACATTAACAGCAAATAAAATGAAAATATGAAAAATAAAAGTACATATATACAGGGCATCTCATATATAACTAACAGTTGTTTTTGTATCAACCAGACTTCTTTTAACCCACATTAAGGCGAAAAACTTTTTACTACATATTATTTTAGATTCAATTTTGATCCAATGTTAAATATTTTACAATATTCCTTAATTATGTATTATCATATCATCAAGAAAAATTTATTCTTCTAATGACATGGTAATGCATAATTGAGTGATAATGTAAAAATATATTATAGTGATAAAACGGCACTTCCCATTGTACAAATGCTTCTCAATTATTTCTCTAACGAGGGGGAGGGGGTGTTTGGTAGGAGGTTTATGATTGAGAAAGTTGAGATGGGTTTCCTAGTTGACTATGTTTGGTAGGAAGTTTTAAAAAATTTGTCCATCATTCGAATTTGCATAGCAATATAGTTTGTGTATAATTGAAAATTTTTGCTATTTCAGAATACTATCCCGAGGGTGGTATTCTTGTTACCCCATCAAACCAAAAAGTAAGAAAAAAAGCAATGAATACAAATATTCTTTCTAAAAAAATGTGCCAAAAGAAAGTCGGAGAGAAAGAGTCTTCTTTATATTTAGTCAAGGGTTAGTTTGATAATTTCATCTCATTTTTCTATTGATATTTTACCTTCAACCAAATATAGACTCAGAAAATTTAACTCAATTTTTCCGGTAATATTTTGACCTAAGAAATAACTTTTTTTTAACTTTCCTATCAAACTCACTTTCTACCGTATTCTTAGTAATTGTATTTCCCGGTAATGTTTTATCAACATCGCCTAGAATGTATTGCTTTAAGTAAGATGAATTTCCAAACTCACTTAAGCCGCACGCTTTTGGTATTTGACGATAATGTCAAGCACTAGTTTTTGGAAGAAGATGACAAATTTTGTGGTTTCGTGGAGGTGTAATGATTCCTTGTCTGAGGTGGTGGAGAAAGTATCATAAGACCGGCCACCATTTTTTTTAATCAATATTTCATTATAAATTGTTGAGTCATTTCTATAATAATGCACAACTGTTATTGTTCTTCTCCTTTAACACAAAGACCCTTCGGCATATTTGCCTAAAGTCTCACAGGTGAAGCAGAATCAAGGTACTAAAAATTGATGGAGACTCTTATATCAAACTGGTCCAATGTCCTATCCCTCCCTGAGGACTACATATTCCCACCAGAATCAAGACCAGGGAACCTCAAAATCCCCTGCAGCAACGACATCCCAGTGATTGATCTCAGTGAAGCACAGAAAGGTGATAGAACACATACAATTCAGAAGCTTATCAAGGCTGCTGAGGAGTTTGGATTCTTTCAGGTTAATACTACTTTTTTTTTTTTCGAATAAATCTATTTTTGGTCAAACAATACGATTTCCAATGCACAAGTTGAATACTAGAATTAATATTTGTAGATGGTTGTCCATATTGAAACAGGTTATCAATCATGGGATCTCAGTGAATCTAATGAACGAAACAATGAGTGTTTTCAAGGAGTTATTTCATATGCCGGCTGAGTACAAGAAAAACTTGTGTTCTGATGATTCTTCCAAGACATGTAGGATGTTTACTAGCAGTGTGAACTATGCAACTGAAAAGGTTCATCTTTGGAGGGACAATTTTAGGCACCAATGTCATCCTTTGGAGCGGTGGCAACACTTGTGGCCTGAAAATCCCACTAGATACAGGTAAATGAATCATATCTAAGATACTTAAGGCCAATATCATAAAATCTTACAAACTATATTGAGCTCTTCCAGCATAAAGTAATAAAATGTATGGTAGATATTGCTCAACTCAGCAGATAACAGTGTGGACGTAGTTTCACTTGATAAAGATGGTAAAATGTTGGAAGTGGAACCATTTAATTTATTATTCTTATTATTTTTTATGAGGTTGGATATATTTATTATCAATATATATTTATCACGTCTTACTACCATCTCTATTATTGGACCCTAATAGAGGGGATAAGTATATCTATATCTATCTGGTACTAACACCAACCTCGTTAATGATTTATGGTGGGATTAAACAAAAACTCTAACCTGGTACATACATACACTCCTGCCAATATAAATTTAAGTCACCAGTAGTTCTAATATATTTTTTTTCACAGAGAGTGTGTTGGTGGTTGTTCAGTTGAAGTTAAAAAGTTGGCTTCGAGGATCTTGAGTTTGATTAGTGAAGGGCTTGGTCTGAAGTGTGGATATTTTGACAATGATCTTACTGGGTCAATGACCATGTCAGTTAATCATTATCCACCATGCCCTGAACCAAGTTTGACACTTGGAATAACTAAGCACTCAGATCCTAACCTCTTAACCATTTTACTGCAAGATGATGTATGCGGCCTTCAAGTATTCAAGGATGGAAAGTGGATCGCTGTTGAGCCTCTTCCTCATGCATTTGTGGTAAACATAGGCTACCAGTTGCAGGTACACTTACTGAAATCTATGAAGCACTTTCATTTCAATGAACTAAAACTAAATTAATAATAGAAAGGACAAACTATCAAAAGAGTAAGCCTTTGAGGTCAAAATTAGATATTTGTTAGGATTAGTCTCATATTTGTTTAGATTCAATTTTGTGGTGATACCATATATTGGTTCCAAATTCCAATTACTTCCAAATAGCACTACCTCCATGGAGGAAAATTTTTGTTCCTTTTTTTTTTCAATTTTTTCAGTTTGCATAAATGTACTCTGGCAAATTTTTGCTGACTTATTGTGGTGGGTTACATTGGGCTGCAGATAATTAGTAATGGTAAGTTACAGAGTGCTGAGCACCGGGCTGTGACAAATTCACGTGAAGCACGCACAAGTGCTGCATTTTTTGTAGCTCCTTCAGATGAATGTATCGTAGAGCCAGCACAAGCTCTCACTAATGAACATCACCCGCCACTTTTTAAGTCTTTCAAATACAAGGACTTCAATGCGCACTACTTTGCCAAATATGGCGACACAGATGTGGTGCTGAAAGCATTTGAGGCTCAAAAAATTAACTGAAATTTGGACAGCATATAAGGTATGAATAAGTATGATATCAATGATGTAATGATGGGAAGCCTTGGCATCTTTCTGAGCGTTAGGCTTGACTGACTTATTGGGAGAAAAGACCCTTCAAGAAATAAATGAAGTTGCTCAGTTTAGCACTATTTTAAAGCACTATTTCACCATTTCATATGCAATATGTGGATGCAAATGGTTTTCAACAACCAAAACATTGATATTGTTAATGTTTATAATTAAGCTTGCGATATTTATTAGTATTCACTTGTACAATGATCTGCATATTCTCAACACTTTCGAACATAAATCTATTTTGAAGTCACGTCTTACATTCCAATCTCGTGGTGTAAAATGTAGGATCGCTCAAATACAAAATCAACAAATAAAACAACTATTCAAGAATGTCGTGAGGACTTGTGGAGAAAGAGAACAAACTTCTGTGAAATATTTTACTAAACTTCGTTGCTTCTCAATTCTATGTTTCTCAAACAATATACTAGACTATTTATAGGCTATAGTTTTCCTTTATAAAACTGCAACACTAAATAGCCATAAACCACAATTAAAGCCAAACTTAATAACAAAACATAACGACTGACTCTTAACTTTCAAAACTCCTAAAATTAAATGCTAAACTTATGACTCATAAACTATCCATAACTGACAAATTTAAAACCATTAAAAATTAAACTGACTGTTTAATTAAACCACTGCCGACGTTACTACTGGAAAACTGCAAAAGAATGATTGGCATGAAAGATGGCAGAAGCATTTAAGTTTACGGGAGAGTTTTGTTAAGAATAAACGTTAAATGTCAGTTTAGTTTTTAATGGGTTTAAATTAAACTGACATTTAACGTTTATTCTTAACAAAACTCTCCCGTAAACTTAAATGTTTCTGCCATCTTTCATGCCAATCATTCTTTTGCAGTTTTCCAGTAGTAACGTCGGCAGTGGTTTTGTGAAAATATCTCCTACTTGGTCTTGACTTGCCACATGTAATAACTCCACATTTCCTTCCTTTACTTGATCCCGGATGAAGTGAAAACGGACGTCAATATGCTTGCTTCTTTCATGATTTTTTTTGTCCGGCGGTTCCTTCATTGGTGGAAGATAGACAATCTTGAATTTTTCTCCGTCGACCTCATCCTCCGATATACTTCCACATCCATTCTTACACGTATGATCACTATAACGTCCAATTAGTTTTACAACACCTATGCCAATTTTAATACTTTCAGATTCAACATGTGCTACATTAATAGCACGTTGGGCCTCATCAACCATAATAACCCCATCACTCATTGAGGACTCATTGAGGACCGTTGATTCCCATCATCAAGCAAATAACTCAACGCATCATTTTCTGATTCCGCCCCACGATCTTCTTCTGGTTTACGCTTGAGCCAAAATGATTCCGCCATAAAAGTAACTCTAGGCTCCTCATCGCCGAGTTCCCTATCCACAATCGCACCTTCCATTTTTCCGCTCTCAGTTTCTTCATCGCCGGGTTCTTCTTCATCGAGTCCAGCTTCCACGCGCCTCATCGATAGAATCTCAGACCACCGTCCTTCAGGGAAATGGTCTCTTTTCAGTGGTGTCGACATCTTCCACTTCCACCATGAATTTAATGCAGTCTCCGACTTCTGACTTCCAACCTGAACCGCGCCTATGCCGGTCTCCGACATCAACCTCATCACGCCGGGGTCGAGCTCTTCTCCAAAACATGAACTCGGTGATTTTGTCGGGATCTCCCCCATCCCGGTTATCAACACGGAACTCGGATTCGCGGTCTCCTCCATGTCGGTCTTCATCAAGCACCTCGGCTTCTCAATCTCCTTTCCGATTTTCGATTCGGTCTCTAGACACTCAGGTTCCACGAAGTCTTCTACCTTGACAATGGACTCGTCGTTCTCGTCCTTCTCCACTTCGATCTCGGCTCCTTCGTTCTCATCATCTTCTATCTCAGCTCCTTCGTTCTCCTCCTCTTCTATCTCGGCTCCCTTGTTCTCCTCCTCTTCTATCTCGGCTCCTTCGGCCACTGTCATCTCCATCGTCTTCTTCTCCGAGTCGTCTCTTACGCGTTCTGACACGTCAATCTCCTCTGCGGATGCGTTGCCGTTGGCAACCTCGGATTCTGCCATCTCGGTCTCTTCTTCATCCGCATCATTCTCCTCATCTTCATCATCATCATTGAAGATTTCATCTTCTTCATTAATCAGATCAAACCGTCCAGGCAAGTATTTTGTTATGAAGGCCATTAGAAAATCCTTCCACATATTATTAAAGTCGCGGCAGTTCCATGTACGGAACCATTTGATTGTGCTTCCTCTGAGTCTTCTCATGGCCACCTGCCATTTGTCCTTCGTCCAGGTTTTTTCTTTCCGAAAATGTTCCTTCAAATAGAGAAGTCAGAGAAGTCAATCTAATGCTTCATCCTTATCTCCATGGAAGAGTGGCACCACCAACTCGCTCTTTTTCTCCACGGCTCTAATACCAATTTGTAGGATCGCTCAAATACAAAATCAACAAATAAAACAACTATTCAAGAATGTCGTGAGGACTTGTGGAGAAAGAGAACAAACTTCTGTGAAATATTTTACTAAACTTCGTTGCTTCTCAATTCTATGTTTCTCAAACAATATACTAGACTATTTATAGGCTATAGTTTTCCTTTATAAAACTGCAACACTAAATAGCCATAAACCACAATTAAAGCCAAACTTAATAACAAAACATAACGACTGACTCTTAACTTTCAAAACTCCTAAAATTAAATGCTAAACTTATGACTCATAAACTATCCATAACTGACAAATTTAAAACCATTAAAAATTAAACTGACTGTTTAATTAAACCCATTAAAAACTAAACTGACATGTTTATTCTTAACATAAAATTTGTGAAGAATTTAATTTTGAAGCACCGTGATAAAACTTTATTCCAATCAAAACTCAAACCCCCACTAGCAGTAGCACCCCTACCTTAAAGGCTAAAACATGTTATTGTTTTGCAAAGGAAGTTGCACCAAAAAAGAAAGAGAGTTAAAAACAAAACTTGGGCTTAGCCCATTCATGGGTCTGAAATCATAGAGAGAATGTTGATGCCTTGGTTCAAGAAACCTGAAAATAGCAGAACTAACCGCTAACTGCTACAACTATTCACGAACTATCTATCATTCTATGTTTTGGAATGATTCTTAGAACGCTTGAAAATGAATGAGTTTTCCAATTTATAAAGTCAAAACAAAATAAATTTGGTGCTTGCTTATTTCATTGTTGAGTACCTCATTGCACTCTTCTATCTTTCCCTTACAGTTTCTTATGCCAAAAGAAGAAAAGAAAAAAAGAAAAGAAAAAGAAAGAAGAAAAGAGGGTGTGTAGAAGATGGGGTCTGTGAGAAATTGGTTGATATACTGAGAAAATGTTTTTTTTTTTTTTTTTTTTATGTTCAATCTATTGGTCCCAAGCATAAAAGAATTTTAAAATAAAAAAAATAAAAATCGCTGCTTGAAAACCCCTCACAAATCCGATGTTCAGTATCACAGAAAATATAAAGAATTTAAGCATTAAAAGATGGTTTCTTTTTTTTTTAGCAAAAACAAAATATAGATGGAAAGAGATAAAGTTAGTTACCTTTGACTAAGCAGAAAACATGGAAAGAGGGAAGTTGACGATACCCAGAAACAGAATTTGGCGGGACGACTGCTAAGAACTCGGAATTTTTCGCTTAACCATTTTAGGTTTAAACCACCTCATTTTAGGATCAGGATAAATCTTTTAATTTTTCAAAATTTAATTTTCATAATTTTTAGTTGAACAACCAAAATTCAAATAAAGATACTCTATCTCTTCCAGAATCAAGAATATCAAAAAAAGAAAAATAAAAAAAGGAAAAAGTTTATCCAGAAAATTATACCCATTAAATTCACAAATATTTTTCCCGATGAAAAATCACCAAAACAAATATTTTTTCCTCATCATTTTACAAGCTATGACACTTAGGGGTGGTAAACAAATCAGTAAGGCTATGCATGGGTCAGGTCGGGTCAGATTTTTGTCCGACTCGACCTAATTTGGTTTTTATAGGTCAGGTATTTTGACCCGACCCGCTTTAATTTGATCCAAGTTAGGTCTGACTTGGTTTGGATTTTGTTGAACTAGTTCAGAACTGGATCAGATCTGACCTGACTTGGTTTCTGAAGTGGGTCAAATCTGACCTGACCGTTTTTGACTTGGTTTCCTCACAAAATTTCGTCGAAATTTCTACGTTGCAAATGAAAAAAAAATCGTCACAAAATTATTTTTTCATCGGAAAACTTTTTGTTGAAAAGAGACGAAATCTTTTCTCTAATGAAAATTTTACAAAAATAAATTTTCTATCGAAATTTAGTTTCCGTCAAAAGTTTTGACGAAAATGATTTCTTCCATCAAATGTTTTAAACGAAAAAAGAATTCTGTCAAAAATTTTGACGGAATGTTTTTCGTTCAAAATTTCGATGGGAATGTGTTCTGACGATAATTTCGACAGAAGTTGTTTCGAGGGAAATGTTTCATTTGATACTTTCGACGAAATTTAGATTCTCTAAAGAATTTTGACAGAATATTTTTTCCGTCAAAATTTTTTATCGAAATATTTTTTGTTAAAAATTTTTACGAAATTTTTTTACAGAAATGTGTTCCGTTCAAAATTTTGATGGAAATATTTTTTATCAAAAAACTTGACGAAAATATTTAATTGAAAATTTTAAATAGAAATATGTTTCGCTAAAAATTTTGATGAATTTTTTTTTTTGTCAAAAATTTTAACGAAATTTTTTTTGTCGAAAACTTGCACCGAAATTTGTAAAGAATTTTGATGAAATTTTTTTCCGTCAAATGTTTTTGATGGAAATGTGTTTCGTCGAAATTTTCAATGGAAATTGTGTTGAGGGAAATGTTTCATTCGAAACTTTCGACGAAATTTAGATTTTCTAAAGAATTTCGACAGAATATTTTTCCGTCAAAACTTTTTATCGAAATATTTTTGTCAAAAAATATTACGATTTTTTTTTACAGAAATGTGTGAAATTTTTGATGGAAATATTTTTTATCAAAAAACTTGACGAAAATATTTAGTCAAAAATTTTCGATAGAAATGTGTTTCGCTAAAAATTTCGACGAAATTTTTTTTTGTCAAAAAGTTTAACGAAAATATTTTCATCAAAAACTTTCACCGAAATTTGAA